ACTAACTAAATAAAAATAAACAGTTATAGGAATGGTCTGTCCCAAGAATGAGATACACTACTTTCCATGACAAGAGATTCTTCTCCTCTTATTTTGATGAAAATGGCCAAATCTCTCCTTCCCTTTTCAAAGACATCAGCAAGTCATGGTGCCTTATGAATATTGGGCTGCATTTCCAAAACTCATTGTTTTGTCTTTTGCCTTTTAAATCCTTCAGCATCTCAGCAGGATAGTTTCCTTGATTGACCCAGGAAATGAAATGACCTGCTGAACTGCTGCATAGCTTGGCAGCACATGGAATAATCCGGGTGCTGGGAAGGCTGCAGCTGCTGAGTTGACTTTGCTCAAGGAGAGCTTCTTATCCAGTAGTGCTGCTATCACTTCCCTTTGATTTGAAATGAATGTCTCTTTTTAATGGTTCACTCCATTGCTGACTTTCAGTGTAATCTAAAGCACAACCAATGCCCCAATGGCTTGCAATTTCTATCTGTGTCCCATCACTTGCCTGTGTCCCACTGGCAAGTGAAGAAGAGAAAATGGTTCAGTGCTATATCCTGGTAATTCCAGTACACCCACCCTGTCAACAAAATAAAACAAAACATCAAGTGGAAAGGAATAAGCATGCTTCTGCCCTATACCCAGGAGGCACCCACCTCTCGGAAGATAGACAGATGACGGGGATGAACAATGTATCTGATTTTGATGTAAAGTAGCTCCTTTGATGCCTTTATAAAACATCTGCATATATATGGCCTTATATAAAAAATCACAATGATTAAAACATGTCTTATATCTTAATCAACTCTGCTGGAAGCTCAGCTCTGCTGGAAGCTAATGGATTTGCCTGGCTGTCATTACATATTGTACACTCACAATCTAGTGTCTTATGCAGATTCTTGGAAAAATCTAATTTTCAGATGCCTATTAAAGTCATTCCATTTCAGTGATTGATGGCTACAGTCAATTCTTCTTGACTTTTTAGTATTATTCAGCATTCATTTGCATATAGACCAGTGGTGGATTACAACCAGTACATCCCGGTACGGGCATACCAGTGCCTGCTGGAAGCACTGGATACTGTTCTGGTACAGTGCTCCGGAGGACCCACCCACCCGCTTGTGCTTCTTACCGGTATTTGAGGTTTTCGTGGCTTCTGCACCTGCAGCATATGGCACCTGCGCGATGCTCCACCAAGCAGCTGAGCATCGTGGGCGGTAAGTATGCATGCGCGCATTCATGTGGTGGACGCCCGGCCCTGTTGTACTGTACTGGTTGCAACAGGATCCGGAACCCACCACTGGTATAGTGGTGCATGACCACAATGTTGCAACAGGATCCGGAACCCACCACTGGTATAGTGGTGCATGACCACAATGTTGCAACAGGATCCGGAACCCACCACTGGTANTCTATCTATCTATCTATCTATCTATCTATCTATCTATCTATCATCTATCAGGAATATATCTGTTGGCCGTAGCTGTCGCATTTCATCACATGCTCTCTCTCTCTCTCTCTCAATAGGTCCTCTCAGTTTGCGTGGAAGAAGACAATATTGTAAACTACGCCACCAACGTCCTTCAGAATCCGGATCTGGGTCTGCGGATGGCCATCCGGAGCAACTTAGCCGGGGCGGAGGAGCTTTTTGCCAGAAAATTCAATACCCTTTTTGCCCAGGGAAGCTACGCGGAGGCGGCTAAAGTGGCCGCGTCTGCACCTAAGGTAAACCATTTTTGAAGATATCTATGCCTTCAGAATATTTATCTACTAAATTCCCATTCAATTCCTGGGAGTTCCCACAACTTCCGAAAGCAACTTCTATTCCATGGGTTGATTGTTCTCACTGTCAGAAAGTTCCTCTTTATTTCCAGGTTGAATCTCTCCTTGTTCAGTTTCCATCCATTATTCCTTGTCTGGCCTTCGGGTGCCTTGGAGAATAGCTTGAACCCCTTCCTCTCTGTGGCAGCCTCTCAAATATTGGAAGACTGCTATCCTGTCTCCCCTGGTCCTTCTCTTCACTAGACTAGCCAGGCCCAGTTTCTGCAACCATTCTTCGTATGTTTTAGTCTCCAGATCTTTGATCATTTTAGATAGATTCAGATTAAGAGAGTTCGAAGGGAGCTTATAAGAAGCACGGGCTTTAGTTAACAATGTATTGACAGTGGCGCAAATAATCTGTGTGCAGCATTGGGAAAAAGAAAGTATCCCGTCAGAGTTAGACACAATTAGAAAAAATTTGGCTTGGGAGGAAGCAGATAGGCTCACCCTAGAATTAAAAAATAAAGGGGTGTCGGAATATTATGCAGTTTGGAACAGATTTTATTATTGGTATCAGACAAGGTGACAAGACTGGAACAAACTTTAAATGATGTGAATGGATAGAAGGATAGATAATATATTAAGTAGACTGACAGTTAATGGATGAGATTATGTGTGCCGTATTTTTTGGAGTATAAGACGCACCTTTTCCCCTCAAAAAAGAGGCTGAAAATCTGGGTGCATCTTATGCACTGAATACAGCATTTTTGGCCTCCCAAAACCCCGCTGCCTTTGCCAAAGTGGCCTTGCATAGCCTCTAGGAGGCTTCCAGAGGGCTCCTGGGGGCTGGGGAGGGCAGAAATAAGTGAAAAACTGGCCTTAATTTTGCCCCCCCCCCAGCCCCCAGCAGCACTCTATAAGCCTC